ATAAAAATCTAAGTAAGATTAAGTCATTAATCGATGACTTGCATCCCAAGCTGAAACCTTCACTTTATAAGGGAAATCCGTAGGAATTTAATCACCAGAAATTAAAACACAGTTTGCATCGAGTGCACAAACATTTATGGTTATAACTGAAGTTGTGCTGCCTCTCATCAACGTTCAGCAGAAATTTCAAACTTACAGTGGACTTGTCATGCTAAATTTTACTGGAAAATAAATTGTTCTAGAAGTTATTGCGATAAATAGTAGCATTGTGGTTTTGCATCCATTTTCAAGTAACATAATTGTAGCGGAAAAATAATCCAAGTACGCCCTCTCAAAGATAAATAAACTTTCAATTCTAATGATGCTTTAACACTGGAACTGGAAGAAATGTTAAATATCCAAAATAAATCAACAAAACGACAGATAAAAGGAATTATGAAGTCTCTGAAAACAAAATTGTTCATCAAAAAAGGGGTTAGTTGAGACCAATGAACCAGACCGGAGACTTTCATCATCCAATTTTTGGTATAAAGAGAGAGAAAAAAAAATCAATCAATAAACCAGGCAAGTGAAAATTATTGAGGTTATTTAAATTTATCATGAGAGTAATCGATATATTGCGACAGGCTTAACTTACAGCACTGTTGTTGCCGATACAGGTCGCCTTCCAGCCTCCGTAGTTACCGCTGGGGTCGCTCTGATATAACTGGAAGCCGTAGTGTTTGTCCCAGCCCATGTACAGCAAAGAGACGCCAAATGGTCTCTTACCTGTCGAGACACCAAGCGCCGGTGATCCAGTACTTCACTAAAGTCAACTTTATGCTGGGTCAGATCCACGTCTCCTTCAGTGACCTGAATATCTCACCTCCAAACTGTGTGTAGGCTTGCTTTATGTCACACAGAGCTGTGACCAGCTGTTCGCAAGGAATCGGCTCCTGGTACTGCAATAAATATCTGGAGAGAATTCAAACAGGTTAGGTACGGTTAAGAAGCAGCTTGTTCAGGATTTAGCTTTTTGAATCAATCACTGGCAGCTTTGCAACATTTTTTTATGGTCGACGCTGACCTCTGTGCAATAAGTCGCAGCTCATTTGTGAGTACGTTGGCATCTGATGTGATCCCAGCAACACTGCAAGCCATATCCCTGAAAGAATAAACACATAATTAGCTTTCCTCCAACAAAACCATAAAAAAAATGAAATCAACAGTTTTTGGGTTTTTTTTTTTGTAAGAATGGGAGTCGGTGTGTTTTCCTTACTCGTTGAGCTTGTAGATCTTCTCGGAGAAGAAAACCTCATCAAGGAGTTTGTGAATGTTGCGTCTCTCAGCTGCTAACAGCACTCCGTCGTTTGCGAGAATCCCGAGGCACGTTCCGGCGTGACCGATCGCTTCCATGGCGTACTCCACCTGGTACAGACGCCCTGCAATTTATGGGGTAAATTATATTAAAACACTGAGATAAACGCTACTCCAAAGCAGAGTTTCTAGGTCATTTGGCTAACACAGGACAGGTTAAGGAAGACCCCAAGAACTAAAATGTCCTAGTCATATCAAAACTTTTAACACAGAAATAACTAAAGCTTTAATTGTTGCTGTGCTGAATATTGTCTTCCTAATGTTCAAAATAGTGTTCAGAAATGTCAACATTAATTTCTTTGCACAATTTCTTTAGTAGCAGAATACACCAACAATAAGGAGTGGATTGATCAATAGATCAATCAATGGGTAGGAGATTGGGGTCGTCAATTTTTTCCTGATTGGTGATCAATAGATCAAATACTACAAAACCCCTCACCACTAGGTCTAAAACTCATCAACCAACACGATAATTATCATAAATCGCAATAAATCTCTTCCAAACCCTTTACAGAAAAGGAACACGACTTGCCTTCAGGTGAGAAGATGGTCGTCCGAGAGTCATATCTGCGTGACTAAACCACAACAGCCATTAATTAAATAAGTACAGACTCATTAGGTATGCTTTACATATACATGACATTTTGAATGTAAAAAGCAACTTAGCCACAAACCATTTTCCCAGGTCACTGGAAATATCCTGGAAAAACAGAGACAGGTTTTAAGCAGCAGAGATCAGGGACAAACAATGATGGCGACCGCTAAACGTTAATCTAATATTGCAGATATTGCGCATGCAGTAAGAAAAAACATGTAATATTTTGGAACAAAAAAGGCTCACGTGTGACTCTTGAGTACCATAATTACGCTTAAAACCGAACCGTCTTATAACATCCACTGGCAGCTAGCGGGTAGCTAACGAGTGCGACAGAATGAATCTGCATTATCGCAGCATGCTAATGTCTTAGCCAGCTAACTGGCTGCTTTAAATGCGTAAACGTCTACCGGATGAGCGTCATTTACAGAAAAGCTATGCTGGCGGTTGTCAAAACTAACATACTGAGACGCAAAGGCAGGCACCGACTTATTATTACCTTGAGTTAAATTCTTAAAGTCGGCGTACTTTTGCTTAGGCTTGGAGATCCAACACTTTCAGTTTGCTGTTTCCGCCTTCTGACACCGGCGTTTTGCAGCAGGGATGTCGCGGCTCAGCAGCGCCACCTGTCGGCAGGAGGACCGATCAACCTCCGGCTCTGTATCATTGCACCGGTAGTGATGCAGAGCTCCAATGGTTGCAATGTCCACTCAAAAACAACAAATAAATAAATAGTTAAATAAATAAATAAACTTTTCAGCGTTATCATGGCATTATATCAAATTGCATTCGATAAACACTTTTGATAAATTCCTACTAAAATTCATGGCTTTCTGCAGGAAAGGAGAAAAATCTTTTATTTTAATTTTTTTTACACTCAAAGGAAATTTTGATCCAGTATATTTTTCTCAGAACTGTTTTGCTGACAGTTCTGAAATGGTTTGCTCAAAAGTGTGAGCAAACCATCCTCGTTTAAAGTGCTTTCCATTTGGGGGCATCAGGTGGATGCTCCCATATTTCCCATATTAAGTACCCCTGAAAGTCCCCATGTTAAGTCCACCTGTATTTCCCATATTAAATCCTCCTGGATGTCTCCCCATGGCGCGCCAGCTTTTCTACATGGACCTGGAGCTCCAAGGGCGTGGTCAGCCAAGCTCAGTGTGGCCCTGTGGTGCCTGAATCCAGGCTAGAGAACCTCCATGAGTGCCCCTGGTTCTCTGGAGCTCCAGGACCAGGGTCTGGTTCGGTCAGAGTCCTGTTTCATGGATGGTCCTGGAGCTTTAGGGGGTGGTCAGTCAGGACACGCTGGAGGGACGATGTTTCTCGGCTGGTGTAGGAACGCCTTGGGATTCCCCCCCAGAGTATCTGGAACATGTGGCTGGGGAGAGGCATGTCTGGGCCTCCCTTCTTGAGCTGCGACCCCTGCAACCCAATCCTGGATAAGTGGAAGAAGAGGGCTGGGCGGATGGATGGACAGATGTTTTGCTCTCCAAAAGGCTAAATTATGTATTATTTCCCAACATGACTTATTAGAGTCAGTGAATTAGCAAATGTTTCTTGTAATATCACATCTGATGTTGTTGCTCCTAATTTCCGAGTCAAAGACTCGGATGAGTAAAGTACTATACTGCCATCTAGTGGATATATTGGAGGACAACATGAGCGAATCCACTCAAAGGACTCAAGTTCCTGTTGAGCTCAATGTGGTGGAGAACGTTCACAAAAACCTTTTAAACCACAGCAAAATGCACATTCAGCTTATTATAAAAGCAATGTTAGACAAACAACCTGCTGATTCTTTTTTTACTTCTATTGAATCACAAGAGAATTTACAATAAATGACCTGATACACAAATATTCAGGCTTCGCTGCCATTTTCTCTTTTAATCTAAAGAGAAGTCCGAAATTATTGCAAGATGTAAGATGTAATAAGATCTCGTCACAGATGATACATGAACTAATTAAGCAGACTTTTATATATTTTTAAAACTAGATGGCACATTGAACGTTATATACAAGCTTCTGGTATTTATTTACTTATTTTATTTTTTTACTTTTTTAAATTTATTTATTTTAAAATTGTCAATACAGTAATCAAAGCTCGAGTGAGAAACTGCTGGATGTGATCATAAAATGATATAATAAAATGAAAATAAATGTTTGGTGCTGCTGCACTAAACATTTTTCATTTAAGAAAACATAGGCTTATTATCGAAGCAAGTAACATCTTGACACATCACTGTTTTGTATATTAAAAAAAAAAAGTCTCTGTGTTTTGGCCCAGAAAAACAATACTTGGTTGAATGAAAATTAATCTCAATATGCCAGGAGTATCATTTTGGACTTAACATGAACAGGGCATGTTTTTTTTTTTTGCTATATGTTGAATAATGTAAAAAACTTTTGTGAAGAAATGCCTAATGGTGCCTGTTATTTGCTTTTCAAGACTTTAAGGCCACACGAAAACAAAGTCTCAAGGATACTTAAAGGGGTGCTTGGCTGTATTATGCATTTTGTAGGCACACAGCGCAATTTTAAAGCACATTCAAGCAACTATATTACCTTCAGTTGTAAAAATGATGTACGTATTAAAACAGAAGTAATTTAATTTCAGTGTCTGTTTAAGAAGCTCCTACCCTCTCTGACATCATGGCTAACACTCATCTATTATACTGTTTATAACCATTCTTAGGAGTGTTGGATAAAGGAGCAGATGTGCAGTTCATCAGATGTGCAGTTCCACCAGGTGTTTGGTAATTACTGTAGCTCCAAGTCTGGAGGAGCTGAGAGGAGCGGGTTTTGGGGGGAGGGCAGCTGTGTGGGACTGAAGCTTGATTTGGAGGCTGCAGCACAAAGAAGGAGCTTTGTGGAAATAGTTGGGGCTTTGTGAAAGTTCATATGGGAGATTCATAGATTCTTCAAACATGCAAGAAAGAATCAAATCACACACTTGAAGTATGTTCTTAATGACAGAATAACATAAAAACATGATGCAAAGCTTAAAAAAAATCAATGTACATAAAATCCTTTAAATAAGATAAGGCATAGATAGTTTTAAACAGTTTTATTATAGCGCATTCACATTTGTAGAAATGATCAATCAAATCAACATGGTCATCAGTTTGTACAATCTGTGGAGCGTAATTTGAACTGCTGATTAAAACCAAACGGTGCAACAGCAACGACGACCACACAGTGCAAGTCGTAAATGTCCTCGTTTGCTGGCAGTCAGGGAGCCAGATGTTTTCCTGCTCTCTCCTCCACTGTGGGTTCTGTCCGTAGGGGGGTCCTGGTGGGAGGTAAGGGCTTAGAGTCCGGGGCCTCCAGCAAATATGAGCTCCAGGGCAGCCTGGATGTCGCCATCTGTGGCCTGCAGCGCTCTCAGCATCAGCTCCTCATCCTGGATCCCCATGTCCCTGAGCTGCTGCAGCTGGGACTGCCAACGGCCCTGGCAAAGCAAAAGGAAGAAAAAAATAGAAGAAAAAAAAAAAAAAACGTGTTCAGAAAGACTAACCTTTTATCCAAATGCCACCTGGTTAACATTTTGTTTCTCATTATCCCCTAGAAGAAATGAGCGCACTGTGGGTTAGCTCACCTGTAGAGCAGACATGTTGGTTGCCTGCAGAGCTTGCTGCAGAGCCTGGCTGAAGAGATCATTACTGACTGGTGTGCCAGCTGGCATTGGGGCTGCGCCACTGGAGGGGTCCATCTTAATCAAAGAGAAAGATAGAAAAGAGTCGCAAAGCTGCCAGGATTCTGTAGAAACGAGTCTTCTCCCCTTGATAAATAAGAGGCAGCAAATCCAGGTCAGTTGTCGCTGTCTAACCTGACTCGTCGTTGTCGGGGTAACGGCGCTGCTGTCGGGTGTGCTGGCCAGGGCCAGAGCCGTTGCGAGTTCGCTTTGCGTTATCGGCCGAGGCCCCGTCGCTCCGCTGTGGCCCAGAGAGACGGGGCGCATTCCTGCCGGGAGCCCGGCTCGGCTGGAGGGACCTGCTGGACTCCCCTGTCGAAACACACTCGAATAATCAGCCCACATCCGTATTCATTACAATATCCTGTCTTTATATGAGGTGTGAGAAAAGACTTACCGAGTGGAATTCCTCCTCATCATCTGACATGCCTTCAAACATGAAGCCGCCTGCCAGAAAAGAGATCCGACTCATTTGTAGGGATGAAACGATTAATCGGATTATTCATGACGAGTCAATTACTCAAATAATCGTTGACTAATTTAGCAGGTTATCTGCGGGTTTAAGAGGGTCCAATTTAAGACCTTTTCAAAGCCACCTTGAATGAAATTCAAGACTTAAAAAACTAGACATAAAGAAAGGTTGTGGGATCCTGCTGGACTCTAATCAAGCATAACAAAAACTGGGAAACTGGGAAAACTGGGAAATACAATTGGCATACAATTGAAGGTACCTTCAACCGCCTCGAAAAGTCCCATGAAGAAAACAAACAACATATACAAAATTAAATTGTCCTGGCATTATAAAATTTAAGACCCTTGTTTAATGTATTTAATATCAACTTAGATTTTGAGACATTTCAAGGACTTATTATAAGTCACATCGATTTAAGACTTTTTAAGGATTTGCGAACACCTTGTTTAATAATCCTTTGCTAAAAAATGACTTAAATGTACTGCGTTATTGGATTTTGGGCAATAAAATGTTTGTTTTATAAATTAAAAAATGGATTGAATATTTTTGTTTATTTGAATCTTTCAATGTAGTTTTAATATTTTCTGAAGATACTGAAGTGGTTAAATGAAAAAAAAAAAAAACAGCAGAATGCACCAATTTTTAAATTCAAATCATCGATTAGTCGTCAGACTAACTGCTCACTAAAATAATCGTTAGCTGCAGCCTTGCTAATTCTAGACCATTTCAACATACACAGTGAAAAGGTTACTGTAGTCATATATATATATATATATATATATATATATATATATATATATATATATATATATATATATATATATATATATATATATATATAATTTTTTTTTTTACACATATTAATCTCATGGCTCACCTGGCATATCACTGTAAGAACCGGCAGAAACATTTCGGGAGGAGCCGGCAATGGACTGGGCCGGCATACTGCCGGCCACCGAATGCAGGACCAGGATGATGGCGTTGACCAGGGCCGGATGTGAACTGATTAATCTGCAGCAGAAAAAGCACTGCGAGTGTCATATCATTTGTCACAAAGTTGTGGGATCCTGGAAAAGATAAATAAAGCTAAGAGTCACACTCACACGTCCAGCATGTTGGGGTCCGTGAACTGTACAAAGAGATCTTTGTCTTGAAGCACTCCTGAATGTTTAAAGGGGACATGTTACAAGTTGCAATATGATGCAGAGCTATACACGTCTTGTGGAGTTCTGCTGAGTCTTACCTAGAGCAACAGGGTCCGACCTGAGCCCGGGAGTGGCTACGATGATCTGATCCAGAGACTCTTTGTTTGTCAGCATTTTATAAACCTTGGAGCAGAAGGAAAGAAACAGACATCAATATCAGCTAGGATGTTTTGTGATAGATTAGCAAAAAGGATGGGAGTTTGTGCCCATTCTTCTTCACCAAATAGCTTTATTTCATATTTAGATCAAATTACAAACAAGTAAGACGCTTAATTGAAGGGTACTGGAGGAAATGGCGCTAACGGCAAAGTTAAACCACAATTGCTTTTTGTTTTATTTGTGGAATATTAAAAAAATATAAAGCATTGTGTTTGTTTTTCTTTCATTTTGCAATTATGGGCTCCTTTTTGTTGCTCCATTACATGAAACCTCAGTAGAAAAACCAAAATGAAATATCGGGAACCAAAAACATGTAGCTGAAGCAGTATTTGTGGAAATCTACTCACCGAGTCTCTGTAGGCAGAGTTGAGCGAGTGAAGCGCAGCGTGAAACACTCTAAACTCTCTGGCTGCTGTTGCTCTGTTAACAGGCTCTGGAGAAGTGATCACACACGCATATGCATTCACAATCAGATCTTCTGTGTAATTTCCAATAGGGATTTGCCATTGTTCATTATCGATGCAGCATCCACGGACCTGGGTTGCCCTCTGGCTCCGGCCACGTCTTCTTGAGAATGTGTAAGGTGGAACCTGGCAGAACTCCACAGGCATCCAGTGTAAGATCATCCTTCAGTTTCCTCCCGCAATGAACCAGCTCTGGACAGACGGGACACTTTAGATGGGATTTACACGCGCGATAGTGTTGTAGTGTCAGTGAAGCCCAGAAAACGAAGACATTCACAGTTTATTTGTTCATACAGACCTATTAGCTCAGGATCTGGGATCGAGTCTGGAAGCTGGGCTGCTACGAGCTGCTTTAACGTGGCCACTCTGTATCCTCCTGGTGGGACGTCCCCGGGCATCATCTCCGGGAAGTGGAAGGTGGATTTGGGCTGATCCACCAGCTTTAACGACAGGTGCCAATCTGAAGAGGTCATCTTTTTGACTTGCGCACCCAAAATGCAACCACAACGCAGATTAGCAGATGACCAGCTCTGAAGACACATCAGATAACCTTACATTTAACTGACAAGCTGAACGGCTGTCAGTGCAAAGTAAAACGTTGCCTTTTCGCATTGCTTTTGACCAAATTGTTAATTTATAAATCGAAAGTCGTGCTAGCAAAGCAGCTGAGCCGCTGTTAGCTGATGCTACATAAAGAAACAATTTTAAGAAGTACAAGTGAAGGTTTCGTAATATATGATTTGTTTTTTCGCTCCAGCCCCTGTTTATAACAGATAAACACAGGTCCCGCACAGCGGCTTTTAAATGTTACAGTGAAACAAATGCACACTCACCAGTTTTCTTGTGTACAGACACCGACTTCCGGGTTTCAACCACGTGACCTGTGCTACGTTCACATCGGCCACGTGAACAAAGAAAATTCTATTTACGTAGTTGTAAACGCAAATCTATCTATCTATCTATCTATCTATCTATCTATCTATCTATCTATCTATCTATCTATCTATCTATCTATCTATCTATCTATCTATCTATCTATCTATCTATCTATCTATCTATCTATCTATCTATCTATCTATCTATCTAGATTTAAATGATTCTATTTACGTGTTGTTATGAATCTAATTTGGTTTCAGAGTACTTTAAAAGAACAAGTACTGCTTTATTTCCAGTCACACAGAACTGAATTGTAATTGTATTATATCGAAATTGTATTATTTAAAATAGTATTACTGAAGGCAAGGTCATAAAGTAATGCTACAAAAAGGAATATTACAAAGATCATTTTAGATGATGACTAAAAAAAAAAAAAAAGAACTATCAGTACTGAACGCTTGCATGTCTTGTTTCTTTTGGACCTATCGTCTTCCAGGCTGCTTTCACTAAACGGTTAAAGAGTGAAGGAGGGTCGGTACGGCGGAGCCTCCGCATGACATCACCGCTGGACAAAGCAGCAAGGAGTGGTTTCTTCCTAGGGACCCCCCCCAAATCAATGAAACAACCCAACAGGAGAAAAAAAAAATTAAATCCCTGTCATTTTATCTGCCGTCTAAATCAAAGCGCGTGGACTGCGTTTCTAGCGGTGCTTGGTCGTGGGAGAGGAATGAACCGCTCCGGAAAATAACATCGTTTGGGCAGAGGAGAGAGAGCCACCACCGCTGGACGGTCGGTGAGTTTTAACTTTCGTCTTTCTAAGACACTGAGCATGAAATGTGTGTGAGCTAAATAATAATAATAATAAAAAAACGAACAGGGAGCGTATCTCCTGTTTGCTTAAGACTCATAATAAATAACAGTAAACTTTGGTTATTTTGGAAGTAAACGCAGCACCAGCTGTGCAGCAAATGGAGCCGTGAAAACTTGGGGGGGAGATAGAGCCCGTCATAACCTCAGCAGCTCCATTCACAGGCTCCAAAGTCAGGCTTAATCCGGGTTTTTCACTCCGAAGAAGTTCAAAGCACAGGGTTCTGTTCAAAAAGGGCTAATAAGCTAACGTTAAATAGAACACGCTGCGCCCCCGCTCGGCAAAAACCACCCACTGCATCTATCAACAAAAAGGTTTGTTTGAGGCAACAGCAAAAAAAGACTTTCTTAAAAAGCAAGACGCAACAAAATCAAAAGGAAAACTGTTTATTCGTGAGCAAGCAAACGGATAAAGAAAGGGATACAAACACATAAAAGCGACATGAAACCCAGAGGATAAGTGAAAAGATGAGGAAGGTAGTTTAAAGAGATGCTGAGCAAAACCAATGATGAACTTGGAGCATTAATAGTTACTGTATACTCGGGCCGTCTGTCCTATTTTTCTTTTCCCTTCAACCTCTTATACGACTCTTATCCCCTTCTCTACCAATTCCTGAATTCCCCATTTAATTCAGGCAGTGGTCAGAAGATTCCAGACACTCCCTCAACAAGTATTTTCACTTCTCACTAATATGTACAACAGAAAAATACGTGACTTAACCCTCCCCCATGTGCTGTGTCAGCAATTAAAAGTCTTACAACACCAAATGTTTACATGCTTGTTAAGGAAAAACAAAAATGTGTTGTGTGGTTACACAGATCTATCAACCAGACTGTTTTCTTAATGGAACAAATGACGATTTTTATTTTTATATTGTAGGCTACTTAAAAGAAAGCATATACTGTGTCTTTATGTGTATAGATAGATACACATAATATAGTTGGCAAAGGTCAAGAACTTTCATGCTACCCTCATTTTAAAATAGAGCACTAATTAGTAGTGGTGCACCGATTTGTAGTTTTATGGTCGATCTTTGAAATCCTGACCTGCCAATTCCGATTTTGACTGGTAATGAAATGTTGCTAAATATATCGACAAAGTCATGAGGTTGACAACATTAAAGTGACTATTGTTAACTTTAACAACAGTTAACAATAGTTAACACCAAACAGACCTGGTGGGCGGTTCTGTCTTTGGGAAAGATGTACCGACTGGCCAATTTATTGGTGAACTCCTACTTATTAGTAGGATAAGTACTCAATAACCAGGACTCCCTTGGGAAATATGTTTCTTTAGTTTTAATGGAATATACCAAAACATAGGTCAAATAAAAAGAAAGCATTCATGTGATTAGCAACACCTGCTTATGATATGATCTCTTTGGTTAATAATCGACATGCTATTAAAGTTGAACCCATTTTTTAAATAGTTATTTGAGTTTTCAATCTTTGCTGTGATTTCAAGAAAGGCTCTAGGCTGCAGCATAACACCACCTTATCCAAAACAGACACACACAGCATGTACTTGTGTATATATATTGATCAAAACCAGTGACTCTCATACTTTGCATAACCTCACTAATTACTCAATTATTCAGTTACCTACAGTCAAGAGAATACTCAATAACTTTGGTCTCAAAATTCAATATGGCTGCCAAGTGTTTAAAACGTTGTGAAAGGAGTGATAACAAGCATTTATTTGAACTTTTGGGAGTTTGTACCTTGGGGATTCTTTCGCACAATTAAATAGATGCAAGCTGTGTTTAATTAGTCTGGTCACCGTGTTAGGCATCGGCAAATCTTTGTGATTGCTGGCAACTAGGACATGGTTAAAATATCTTTGGTGCTGTCACCTCTTATACTGACACTTATTACTGCTTCTAATCATCTCTTCTTAACATATTCTTATATTTTCTGTTTCATGGCTTATTAGCTTGAAATTAAATATTTGATACCAAGACATACACTAAAAGTCACCACTGGTAAGTGTACCACTGTTTGAGAGCCATGTATCTAAACCATTCCTAAAGCTTTACGTTTGGGTTCATTGTCTCAGGTCTTTTCCCCTTTACTACCTTTGTCCATCCAACCTACTTTGACCACTTTCAGTGTCCCTGCCGAAGAAAAACTTTCCCCTTCCTTTACATTTTCCTTGTGGCGTGTGATTTCTCCTGTCTTTCTTTCAATGGCTTGTTGATTGCTGATATTTCCCACCTGAGCAGTGGATCTGAGCAACTCCTCTAGAGCTTGCAAAGTCGTCTCGTCTGCTTCTTAAAAATAATTCTCATTTTCTTCAGCCTGGCAGTTTAATTAGATGATGATACGCTGCTTTATGAAATGTCAAAGTTTGGGTTGCTGTTTTATAAGCATATCCTGCTTTGGTTATTAAATTTTCATCCTTGAACCATTCCTGAAGCTTTTAAGTACCACCTCTTCACTAATTCTGTGATTTCTGAAGGCAGTTCATCTGACTAGATTTCATTTAGGGGTATGACATTGGAAGAGGATCAGTACATGAATAATTTTTTAACGAGGGTTGCACTGATTGCAGTTTTCTGTCCTCTTGCCAATCACCAAAATGCCTGATCTGCTGATTCCAGATTTGACCAAGGCCAATTTTTCTGTCTGAAAAGTAGCTAAATTGGTTGATTTTCATCCCTGTGCAGAGGTAGATAAGATCCAGGGATAAGATTGGTTTCACATGTAAGTATAGTAAAATTAAGGAAATTGGTACCAATTTATTGATTTTTTACTGACATTACCTACTTTGTTTTGCTCTATTACATACAGAAGATTTAACCTCTAACTTGACAAATTTTGCACATTTTCAATAATGTATTATGTATGATTTCTTCTTAAAGCAAAAGTAATATATTTGTGCACACACACGCAGAAACGTATGGAAAATAATGCCTTTTGTAGCGTGAAACCAACAAAACACAAGACAGGCCTCAGTCCATGTACTCTTAAAATCACTGCAGCAAAGGCTCTCAAACTATATTTGGGGGGAAAATGATAAAGTTTCAATCTGTTAGCCAATCTGTTAACCAATTAGCTCTGTGACAGACCTGATCAACAGTAATCCATTTGTTGCTAAATATAAACCCCCATCTTCAAAGTTTTCTTTGTTACGCAACTCTTCCGATTAGATACTCCTTTCATTTTGATGGCCCATTGTTTAATTTGACAAAGTAATATTCCAAATGACTTGAGTCATCCTGAGGGCTCATTAAATTTTGGTGGCAGTTTAAAGTGCTCGTTTTGCAGATTAGAAGTGTCCCTGTCTTCACAGGGTCAATAGTTTCGAACAGTTTAAGGAGCTTGGCTGTGAGGCAGCTCATATGCCTCCACGCTGAACACTAGCCATATTCATTAGGTCTATATTGGGGAAAAAAGAAGTGGACTAAAAAGAAGCATGGATACCAAACTGATGGAAGAAACCTAGCCCTCTGTGAAATTTCCCTAAAGCTTACCAGAGTGCCATGGCATTACTTTAAATCTTAATGATCTGTGCAAACTCCCAAAAAAAAAGTGTTTATCTTTTTTTGACCTCTAAATAAAGTTTAATAGTGCTTTACATTGTGACAAGATGAAATACATGGATGATTATGACTCATGCGCTGACAGCCAATCTCCGTAAGGAAGCCACACGTTCAGGGTGTCAGTCTTTCAGCTACTGCTTTCCTCTCAGACGTAATGGGCTTTAAATGGCACCATTATAAGCCAACGCCAGCAACATCCCCGCAAGCTGGTCATGGTTTTGACACATTGGCGTACAGCAGCGATAGCGACTATTTTCCCTGATCCTAAATACTGACCTGATTTTCTTCCGAGTTTTCCACTTGTGTGAGTTGATTCAGCTTTTTTTAATCACTTCCACTGAGGTGAGTGGTGAAATGAAAGGGAGGAAAGAGGACGCACGCTGGCAAGGTGGCGGCAAAGTGCTTGACTCATTCAGTGAAAACCCCTTTGTTGGCTTCCTGCTGTCTGGCCAGCCTGAGTCAGACTCTGTGGTCCGTTATGCTGGCAATTTTCTCCTCAGGATAGTTGTGGTATGCATCTACCCTTTTCTG